CATTTACAAAATGCTAAATTAATCCCTAGCGAGTTCCTCACATTCTTATAAACATCTCATTTACATTTAGACGCCATTAACATCTCATTTCATCACTGAAGAAGGTTATAGTATTTTAGCCGAAACGTCTATTTTAAGATTTTTAAGTCAGTGACAACAACTTTTAAGATTTCAAAACGAAAGTAATTGCCTGATTACTGTCGAAACTCAAATGAAAACCGCTCTAATGGTCGATTAGCCAATTCAGTTAATAATATTGTTTCTCTAACATGTTTTTAGGCACGTGGCATCAATATGACGATGCAATCTTCAGTCAACCTGGATTCTGGGATTCCATTCGCAGCATCTTTCCTCACTGGAAAAACGATCCTGCAGAAGGCCGGAGATTGGCTATGATAGCCATGCTTCCAGAATGGGAGGGAATTTCATTGAAACAGGGAGGGATGAACGCACATGACGCTTTGAGTGAAATCAACAGTGTGGTACACTGCGTGTCAAAAGCTGAGATTGAAAACGGGGGTCTTTGTCATCCTCGTATTACATACGGTTTCGATTTCATGGAGGTTTGTACCTGAAAATGGATTTTTAGTGCATTGTGCACTATTGGGATGGTTTTGGGGGCTGCCATCCGCTACTGCACTAAGGAACTAAGTAACTAACACACTAAGGTGTAAACGTTAATGTTTCTTTATACGCTGGACAAAACTGTTCTGGATCGACGTTTTACGACAAAAAATTAAAACCAGCAAAGCGATGCAAATAATTTTTTGATTGTCTTAAACCTTATTAAATTCCACACATGGAAAGTTATTTTTCATGTAGATCACGCAAGCAAGATTTCCGTTAGACCGTATCTAAATTGGCGGACTGAATCACACAAGTACGGAAAACTGCACGATTTCTGAGAAAAAAATAGTTACATGTATGGTTTACGTCGACATCGTAGCGTTAGACCAGTGTTGTGCGAAGAACATCGTTACGTGTTTGTGATTCGACGAGATGGCATGAGGAAGGAGCGGTTATCCATCTAAACAGCACTATAATCCTGTGATACACCAGCGGTTTAGAGAATCAAAGATTCAAGTTGTGATGCTACCACTGAAACTCCACAAGACAAATCAAACAAAGTTATTTCAAGTTGTCAGTTATGCAAGAAAATGCGAGAAAATGGTAAGTTGCTGGTAGATGATCCCGGAAACAGGTCCGGAAACTTTCCTAAAAGCACAAATAGCAGTGTCTGAGGTTCTTCGCTGACAGCGCTTTAACACAGCAGTATCTTGATAAGTTGTGGCGTGTACGAAGCGAGAGCTAAAGGCAGCCATCTTCAAAACAGGTGGAAGACCGATTTAGTGGCAAGGACAGTTAAAAGACTTCAAAGAAGATCAGTTTCTGAATACAGTATCGTATTTCAGGGGGCAAATAAGTTGTAAGTCTTTCTCGTGTTTTCTTGTCAAACTCTTAACAAAAAATTCCACCACCACGCGAAGAGTTTCTCCGCAAAACAACACTCTAAATGTGACTCTTTTTTCTTAGAAACCACATGATTTTGCATACTTTTGTGACTCAGTTACCAAATTTGGACAAGGTGTAACGCAAGCCTTTCTTGTGTCAAGTTTCCATGTGTGGAATTTCAGTCAGTAAAGTTCTAGAAAATCACAAAATTATAATTGTGCCACTTAATTTGTTTTAATTTTTTGTTGTAAAACGTCGATCCAGAACAGTTTTGTCCAGCGTACTAATTAACTAATTTTAATTAATGAATTAGAGTCGCAGCAAGGGGGTGGGGTGGGTCAGCTGCCCGTGTGTACTACATAAAACGTGTTACACGAACCTTAATTCGTTAATAACATCAAAGCTATATATCTCTTTCAGAAAACTCCTTGTTGTCTTTGTTAGTTTTCGTTCTACACAACTCAGAAAAAGAAGAATTCTTTTTGTGTGTTTCATAAACCACAGATGGCGAAATCAGCTTTAGACTTAAAACTGATAATGGTGTATCAGACTCAAGGTTAAAGGACCACACTGAAACGATAAATGACGGAAACGTTTGCTGTCACTTGTCATGTAATACCCTTGCTGTCCCTAGACCCTATACAGCACAACTGCATCAATTATACTTAGGCACGTTAATTTACAAAGGAAACGAGACAACTTTCAGTGATACAGAACCAGCGACCCGTAAGCCAGGGGTTTCTGCAGTGAGAAACCGAGTGCGTTAAAAACATGGAGCTGTAGGATTATGGAACAATTTGTCTTGGTTTGTCATACTGTCTTGAGCGTTAGCTCCTGAACGATCTAAATGGGAATCAGTTTTCAGTGGAAATTTTCTCAGTTTTTCGGTTTTCAGTTAACCCCGTCCAAACATCTCCTCCATCACCATTACCGCAAATTAAATAGATTGTAGAGAAACAGAGAAACTTACAGTTTTGTTGTTGTTGTTGTCTTTGTAAAAGGTTCTGTTCGGATATCTTTTTCCACAACTAAACCGGAATATCCAAATACTGCAAGTTCACACTGATGACAAGGAATCTCAAGCTAAAAGACTTATAACTTCCGTCATGATTGCATCCATTGCCGTTCTTCACCAAACAACGTTTCTTGGAGACGATCAGCTAAAGAAGCTACTAGAGTGTCTTCTCTTAGATGGCACTGAATATGATGCTCTACTTCGTCACTTTCCTAAGAAACAGCATTTACGGTAAGATATTTGAACTGAATGCTCAAAATGTTGCTAAGGTTGTTCTTAAGTCTCCTGTTGCTCAATAGTACAGCGTTCGCGTGTGCCAAAGGCCTGCGGGTGTGTGGGTGTGCGGTTTTGTGGGTTTGCGGGTGTACGGGTGTGTGCGGAAGATCTGGGCCATGGATATGACGCCTAATGGGAGAACTCAGAACCTTTTCTTTTTTTCAGAATAGCCATACCGTGCCACCGATAGTGCAACATTTTCTCATCTATGTGTTCGTACACTGACGCAATGACCAATTGATTGTTCGATCGATCGATTAATGGAATGATTTTTCGACAGACTACTTGAGCATGTGTGCAAGTGAAAATCGCGTCGCCTTTACATTTTCGACTGACAAGTTTGTTGCCTTTAGTAACACTTTGCTGCCTTTCGTAAGTTTCACCTCATTTCAAATTTGATGCATTTTATATCCTAGCACGATGGCTGACAGCTTGTGGCGGCTTTGCATGTACGTTATCGAGTATCGCCGTGATATCTTTCACTGGCTCTTTGCGATGCCCCTGCTTCATTTCCTGTCCGAATCCGTTCAGCCATACTCCTTTGAGACACTCACCTTAGAACCGAGTTCAGTAAAAGATACCTCGTGGTGGGGAACGCAAGGCTTGGAGTTCCAGAGTGTTCGGCGGCAAGCTGCTTTCTCCAGGTACCCGTGTTATAGGCCAGTTGTCATGAAATATGTATATCGCACATATTAAATTTAATTTGATAGACTTCGAAAAACTTTGATGGTTTAAAATTGAGTTTTATCTACTAACTCTTGAAAAGCTTTAATTTTGGAGCCAGAAGTTTATTAGGAACCAGAAATAGCATAATTTCCTCTCGATTGAAAATAAATAAGTAATCTTATGATTGGCTACACTAATTTAAAAGTCATGTTATGTAATAGAAAGTGTACTATACATGTAGGTAATCGTATTTTAAGCAGCATTTCTGAGTAAGTGCACGTGGAACCAATTGTCTTCGTTTATTTGCCTGAATCGCTGGAGATCATCGCCAAAGTTTTCCTGACAAACCCAACACGTTTAAAAAATAACTGGAAAACGACCGTCAAGTCATTTATGAAGTCAAAAGAGCCACATGTATACTAAAGACTTCTGAAAATTGTCAATAGATTCAGACCTCAGTGGGTAGCAGAGTTTGTTTTGTCAACACTTTTCCAGTGGATAGTATATTATCCCCTGGGTAGCGTTACCGACACTTTGAACAACTGTGCCCAGATCTCCTTAATATATTCACTCTCCTAACAAAGATAAGAATTACACCAAAGGTAACAACATCACACTCTTGGTCTGAGCACGACTAAAACAAACTAGAAATCAGTCTCATGCTATTGCGCCGTAACGTTCATTACAGTTTACTGCGTTAATTAACATTTACAGCAACAGCAGCCCAGTACATCTTCTTCATCAGCTGTCTCCAATGTTTAAGATCGATCCTTTGTTTACGAGAACGTTTCTGCTGACACTTCCCATAAGTGACATTGTTAAAGTACTGCAAAGAAAGGTGTTCCCTCTGCACGAAGTTTTCTGGACACTGGCTCGAGTTGTGGAAGAGAGACCGGATCATACCTCTGTTTTGCTTAAAGAACAAGTGAGTTAATATTCGCCAGATCGCTCATTACTTCCAATAGGCAGTAACAAGAAAATCATTGGTACACCCCGACTTGCTAAGATTTCGTTGAACTTTTACAAGTTCTGAAATTTACCCCCTGCTTAAAAAATTTGTCACTCGAAAAGCCACCCAGAATAGAAGACGAAACTCCTAAAACACTCCTTACAAAAAACAATGCTCGGCATGGAACTGTCTTTGAACTGCAGTCAAATTTCATTAGTACACTCATGGAGGACTAAGGGGTTTTTTCAAGATTTTTGAAACATAATATGAAAGGGGCTTAGTAATGGGGGTTTAAAAGGGAATATTTGATGTTTCTGTTTGGTTCATGCTTTTAATTGCGGTAAGTCTTGGGAATTTTTTCTTCCAGAGGTCGACAGACGTACGATAAGCATGATCCAATCTTTATAATTTATTATTTCTTCCTTTCATGTTTAGTGGGAGTCTCTTGAACAGTGTATACAAGAAATAAGCGACAGCTTTGCAGGTGTTGATAGGTGAGTTATTCAACCAATGTGTGGCCATTGACGGGCTATAAAAACCTATTTAGCAGCGACGTAGAACAGCACATCGAGATAAGTGGTAAATATAACAACTAGGCGATAGAACTTACTGAGTGTTGTAACGCTTTCAATTTTAAATTCTTCTTGTCTCTAGCATGGAACACTCTAACTCCCAGTACGAGGCAATGACATCTCTAGCCAAAGCAGCGTTGCATCTTCTGCGTAATTTACTTACAGTAGATGAATTAGTCATCCGGAAGAGATTCCAGGTTGTGTCTGGCATTTTCAAACTACTGGATCAAAGCCTTTTGTTCGCAAAAAACAGTTTGTCCACAGAAGAGACAGCAAGTGAAGTCAAAGCATGCAACGAAATCTTTCAAGCAGCGCTACAATCTTTACACGATTCCCTGGAGAAACACTTCCGTTGGGACTTGCTCCTTCTATCAGCGAACTGGCGCAATGAGGAACTTCAGGTAATACTATTGACTGACAGACTGAATCTTGACTGCCTGACGGAGGGAGGGGAGCGGAATGACGTAGGGGCGCAGGGACGGAGAGACGGGTGGAAGAACGGAAGTAGAGATAACGAAACGAGTGGATCAGTTATAACACACTGTAAGTTAAGGATTATTCTTTAAATCGATTTTAGTACAAAATTGCCTCTCACTACCTTTGTTTTCTTGAAAAGGCTTGGTCGCACTTACTATCGGTAAAACTTGAAGACATCGAGTTACAGCAGTTTTGGGAATGCGGCATAAAAGAGTTTCTTAAAAATCGCATATACAAGGTAGGTTTGACCTTTGATTTCCTATGAACCCCTAAGTAAACAGTATCTTAATTGCATACTTCATCACAGAAATAAGCTGCGGTAAAGGTTTAGAAGAAAATGGGGGTTGTTGAATTGACGTTTGTGCAGGGAAATCCGTCTTGACGCTGCGACTTTCCTGCGTCACTTGAAAACACTTGCTTGACAAGTTTATGTCATAACCAGGTTGCCCACAGCGATGTGATAGAATTGTTTTGTACACTGGATCTGCGCGCCTACCATCAAGACCTCAGCGAATGTTTGGAGTCCGCCGCTTTTGAGGCCGTAGACCATCTCTTGAAGGTAAGCCACTGTTCTCTGAGATTGTTTAACGTTCAAAGCCCGAGGAATAACGATGAATTGGTCATAAATAGGTAATATAAATTTAAAAAAGCAAAAACTCATAAGAATTGTTTGTTCCTTTGAATGAACCACCATGGGAATACGCCGTATGTAATGAATTCTCGATTCGATTTACTGTTTGTTATTTTTAATAATTATTTAAAAGTTGCGATTGGTATTGCGTTACCTCCTTAGCTTATACTAGCTGAATGATGAAACGTTTTGAGTTAACTTTGTTTTAGGGAGGAATGGTGGAAGAACCGATGACATCAGTAAGTTCACGCCTAGAGTTTTCCAATTTAACGCACAGACAGGCTTCTGGTGTGGGCAGACTGTTTTCTCTCCTGTTGAAAAGATGCTGGCCTGAGGAAGGACACGGAAAAGAAATTTCTCAAGATAAGAAGTTGCAGCACATTCTTTCTTGGAAGCCAATGGCTTCGTACTTTAACTACTTTGGTGCGTTATGTGAAATACGAGTATTTTTTCAAAATCGACAGGATATAACATTGACCTCCAACTGATAATAGATGCTAAACACTTTTTTGTTATCATTCAATAAGAATTGGCCGAAATTAATTCCAACGCTGACATCTTCTCAAAAACTTTTTCAAGATCTTTTTCAAGATCTTTTTCCTGACTTTTTCTGTAACAGTTTGAACTTCAGTAAGATGGAAACTGTGCCAGCACAAAAATATCTATAAACTTCACATTTTGATTTAATCATTCAATTCTCAAATATTAAGAGATTTAAAGTGCACCTAACCCCAAAAATTTTTTTTCGCTAAAACGAATCTACTTGTTATTTGAAATAGTTCCGCGAAAAAATTTTTGGATTCCGTTAAATCCTCGATTTTCTGTGCCCCG